CCACCCCCAACTCTCTCCCAAAGCAAATGAAAATAACGAAAAAAAACAACAAACAGTTGAAACTGTTATGATCACATGCACTGAACACACAATAATCAACTTGGCGGCTTGCTCGTGAATCCCCAATCACAATAGTCACCGCTTACAACTCTATAGTACCCTAACAGCCAATCAAATGTCTTTAGGGCTCAGCAAAGGACGAGCCCATTCCCAAGGCACCTCTTTAATGAAACCCCTCTTGCAAAAAAGTTAGAAGACTTGAAAAACAGAACACTGCACAGAGGTCTCACGCTCTCCTAGCCCTGACAATAGGGTGAAAATTTAAGACACACTTTCCCCCAGTGACAGAGTTACCCATGCATCCATTGGACCTTTGTTAGGTGCGTTCTACTTTCCATGACTACAGGTCTAATCCAGCTCATACGATATAATATGTTCAGAGTGCTGTGTGTACATGTTTGTGTGTGTACCACTGAGATTTAACAGTTATTAATTACATCAAACACTTTTGAGGCAACTCTTTCATCAGATGAACATTAATTCGAGAAATTTGGAGGTGAAACGTCTTCGTCCCCACCATCCAGAAAAATTTAACGTAGAACAAAGAGATAGAAGACGAAAGTGACTTTTCTAGTTTGAATGGTTAACAAAATGCTGTGGCTCGCCGAGAGAATAGAAAAATCATCACCGTTTTGTGTTGTACACAAGTGGAACCAACCCAAGCCCCACCTACATTTTGGTCCACCCACCTCCACTGGTTCTCACAAACTACTTTTGTCTCTACCTTAATTCTTCTTAATAGTGAGCACGTAGGCTTTATTAACTATAGCACAAAAAATGTATTTAATGGTGTTTTCTCTCCAGCTAGTAGAGGGTTCTGTCTGAGGTTACGTTGGGTTTAGAATGAAGATATTTTTGTGCAGCAACTCTATTCTCCCTCGTGATCTTGTGCCACATTCATTGGTTCAAGTTGAGGCTATACTGTAGATGTATAAAATACAAGAGGATTTACGTCCAATAAATGGTCAGTAATTGTGTCATTTTGATTTCATAAAGAGCAAGTAGATGCAATTCGCACTCGCTCTCCTTTTATTGGCCTTCTCATTGGGGCTGTGATGTACAATGTTTTATGCCCTATCAACACAATTTAGATTTTAGATCATTAAGTAATGAGGTGATCTTCCGACCCTGCCTGAGAAGGTCAACCAGGGCTGAGAAGGATGCAACATCCCAGAAGAAAGATTAGATACTTGATAAAAATCTCTCCCCACTCTGGGAAATGAACTCGGGTCTCCCGTGTGCGACAAATAAGCTCCAAACAACTGCACCACAGATGCCTGGGCTGAAAGAGCATTGCAATTAAACACACACACACACATGCATGCACACGTGCAAAAGTACACCCACACACCTATCAAGCAGTACATACATGAATTACGTACATAATACTTTGACCTTAGATAAAGACGGACACTTTTTCAATATGATGTATGCATCTTTTCACCTCTTGGGGAACATACGAAATAGAAAAGAGGAGTCTAGGTTTAATACACATATTATGATACAATACAAGCCCCAAATATGTGTCTGACATTACGAGTATGAGGGCTGTTGTCCTAGTTTTGAGTAAAGCTGTTTCTTGAATGAAGACGGCAAGTCATTGAATGAGTCATTGCATTGGTCAGGACTTGATAACCAGATTATTGCCTTACATACTCTGTTCTCTAACTGCTTCCCTCCACGGTCAGGAGAGGAATGCAACCAAACAAACACATAAAAAAAAACATCACACAAAAATTTTATGCAAGTACATGTATATTTATTTTTGCATTTTCTTGTAAAACGAACTTTCAAAATAAGTAAGCCTGACCACACATACCTCTGATGATAATATAAATGATGACGGCAGCATAGGAGTAAGAGTTTGACCAGGAAAAGGGGAGTGGAAAGAGAAAGAAACAAAGAAAAGCGGTAGGACACTGAAACCAGTTAACTTTCTGATGAGAGAAAATGTACTATCGTGTACTCTTGATTTTCCCTGTTCCTATCATGTAACTAATAAAAGAATTATAAAAAAAAAAAACAACAACAGAAAAACCAAACACTCAGTGATGATAGTGGTACTTGTATGATCTCTCAAGACATTGCTGCATTATTGCAAGGTTGGCAGGTCTTTTAATACAAGGAGAACAGACAAAAATTATTTTTTTAAAACGACAGAGAAAATAAATAAGACATTATGTGGTCAGATCAATTTACTCATGGTAAACATAGGACCTACAAACATGCACCTTATCACAGAACAGTGTACATGATGTACATCCATTGAAGTTCACTGTACAGGTTATAACGGACTATCAAAGTACACAAATACTCAAGTACCATTTACGCATTCTACTTTCCTAATGTAGAGTACATACAGAAAAGGCAGTTTCAATAATATTAGTAGTCGTAAAGCACAGTCTTCTGGTAAAAATTCAGAAAACTTATTTGCTGTGGTGTTCTTTAATAGCCCTTTCAACACAGAAAGAATATTCAAGAGGCCTTAACTCTGGTTTAACACACTTCTCTAATTCAGGACCAAGTCATATATACATTTATTTATGTGTAACAAACAACTAAATTCAAAAACGCCCCAACCAGGACTTGAACCCAGGTCATCTGTCCACTGTTCAGAGTGGTACCAACTTGAGCCTAAAGTGTGTACACACAGAATTTTCTGACTAGTGAGGTTGAACACTTCGCAAAAGAAGCATGATCTAAGACATACATTTCCTGGGACAGAACACAGATACACAACCCATTCACATCCACAAAGTCACAGCTGACAAAAAATTAATTTCTATCTAATAATAAAAGAACAAAAATCAGTTCAAAACCAGTTTTGAGCTGTACTTGAGAAAAGCATACCTTCAATGTGTGTATCATTAAATAGAAAGCATGAAAGCAAGTTTCCCTCTTTAGTCTGGCTGAAACTGAGATTCTATGCATTTACAAAGAGCCACTAGCTCTTCTAGAAACTGTACTGAATACTACTACTAGATCTAGGCCCTAGTCCAGAAAAAAGGTCAAAGTAAAATTTCCTCTCCAAGGCTATTAATGTAATCAGACTTAAAAATAGAGAGAAAAAAAAAACTGTCGCAAAATCACTACTATTCTTTTTTTAATGGTAGCACCAGTAAATAATACATAATGTTTATTAGTTTCAAATATGTTGAAAGAGCTATCCTTAGAATGTAATGACCTCTTAACCTTCATTCTTAGTGAAATATTAGTGTCACAGTGGCCACAATTACTTCAAACACAGCCAGTTTGAAAATAAACCACCGTGGATACATGTACAGCAAGGGGGAAAAAAGTCTCCTCTGTTAGTACCAAAACCCTGGTTAGTCTCCATCAATCTTAAGAATTTCACACTGAGCAGTCAATGAAATCTTCTAATTTATAACATCTAGAAAGAGATTACATTATTATTTGCTCTGCAGACAAACCAAGGACACCAATATTGCAGCTAGCAGTACAGCATGCTCAATTAATGACGTAATAATGAGCAGTTCGGATGAAGTGGAATCCGAGGCAGAAAACATTTTCCTCATCAACGTTGAGAATCAGAAGCATCTGTGACTTGTATCAAAGAATTGACCTCAACGACTCCTCTGAAATAACAAGAATTCATTATTCCACGTCTTGTAAATAACAATACAAAGGCCTATTTAGAGCAATGTCCACTTTCAAATACAGTGGAACTCGGATTCAACGAGCTCGGCTTCAATGAGAAGAGATGGATTCCCCATTTTTTTTTCTTCTTCAAAATCAGTAAAAATAATGCAGATTCAACGACCACTTAAAATTTAGCGGTCCGGGCGTTGCAATGATAAGCTAGTCTTGACGTAGATCTAAGTAATGAATTGTGCGCTGGTCTATGGAGTCTAAAGTTGCCGTATGCTAAGCTCTACACAGCAACACAACTTTTTGGTAAACAATCGAGAAAACACAGGTGTGTGCATTTGAACGAATCAGTCTTTTTTTTACACAGCTCATAATATGCAGGCATTTCAGGCACTACTTGTGACTTCTGATTATGCATTGCTTGCTCAGTGCCTGTAATTATCATCACAAAACCTCGTGTTTGCTAAATATATGAACACTCGGATTCAACGAGATTTTATGTCAGGCCCGGCGACCTCGTTGAATCCGAGTTTCACTGTATGCGAAAGTCCAGCTTATACAACCAGATTATTCAGTTCACGTAAAACAAGGCTTACCTACTCGTTAGAGGGCATTTAATAGACAATAAACAAAGTTATTTCAAGTGATCAAACTGCACCTTTCATAATTTGTTAGTTTAACCTTCAAACAGTGTACCCCAGTACTCATAGAATTCTTATACTTCAAAATCTAAATTTTCATGGACTCAATATTTTGAGTTACTTGCTGCTTGAGTACCTTTTTCCTGCTTTAATGAAAAAAAAAGGAACAGAAGGCCCTACATAAGTAGTTATTATTGAGATAACATTTTTGTAGATTCATGACAAAGGACATTTGTTTGTTCCAACCAAATAACTACCACTAACATCATATACATATAATCTAGATCTATATAAAATTGTCACCTGGACAAAAATAGTTCTAAAAATTTGAAAAATAAAAAGGAGTAGAAATTTTGAATATCATGTAAAAAATAAATCATGCATTACTAAACCAAAAAAGACTTTCCACAGACAAAGCAAACAATCTCCAGATCTGCTTCCTTAAATAAAATGCAAGTAATATTTTAAAAATTAACCAATTCAATTTCAATACAATGCCTACTCTTCTATTTCAGTCCACTTCAACATTCTATGAGGCACCCCCCCCCCCGATAAAACAGAAGACAGAGAATTTGGTTCCTTGATAGAATTGTTTAGCCAAAGAAGACTGGGTCCTCCATCCAATCTATCCTGAGATCAGAGGAGCAGTCCACACATCATGCCTGCGTGAACCTCACATCCAACCAGGTT